GAAAAGGTCAAATCAGAGGTTATACATGTCAATGCCAGAATTGAGACAATGTACAATAAAGAATCTTTATTAAAAACTGGATGATTCTAACGTATGTCTATTATTACTTCATGAGAGAAACAAACTTTCATTTGCAAACTTTAAAAAGTTTTTGCACAAGCACCTGAAGTGATTTTCTTTTGCCCTATTAAGATTTCTTTGAGATACAGAGTCTTTGCCTTTCTCCTGTGATTAATTGTAGAGGTAAAATAGGTTCTTACAGTAAAATAGTTTCCTAATATGAAAAAAATTGGGCTTCCAGTTCTTAACACTGGGCTGAGCAGGTCCCATAGCTTATCTAGGAGCAGTGGAGGGGGTGGGAATGGGCTGATTCCAAGGCTGTCCTCTATTCCTGTTCCATGTTTGTTTTTCTACCTGTTTTTCAGTGAAACTTACTGTAGTATTATCCCCATGGCATAAAGAGAGCATGGCAGAAATTAATATGCACATTTGAGCAAAGAAAGGTAATTGGGCAGGAGAGAAAACATCAGGCCTGACCTTCCTTTCTTCTCTCTTTGTTCTTTTTTCTTCTTCCTGGCATAGTCATCTATTGCCCCTTAGATGTCTTTGTAACACAGTAAAGACATGGCTGTATAAGATCACAAAATGCAAACAGAAAGCAAATACAATATTTGTAATTTATAATATACAAATAAATCTAAATAAATAAATAATAAAAATCAAATACAATTCCACCCTCAAATTTTGGCCAGTTGAATGGGATGACCTGAAGGGAGGAGAATGAAGTGAGGTGGAGCAAAAACACCCACGCATATGTGCACACCTGCAGACATGAGCCCATGCATTTAGAGAGCTGGAAGCTCTTCTGTACACAGAATTGTCAGGAAATGTATTTGTTTTTTCCTGCTGTTTCCTCTATCTCTATTATTGCTTTTCAAATGCAAATTACATTATCACTGAGCTTCATTTGCTCTCTGGCCTCTAATATTTAGCAACTGTGCTCTTCGTGGAGTTGACAAAACAACCCACTCAGTGGAAAATGCCCTGTGAGTGTCAGAGACCAGAGATATCAGATTATATTTTAGTAGGCTCCATCCTCCCATTAGATTTGAACCACAGGGTGACATCTATCTTTGCCAGGACTCACCTGGACAAGCTAAATCATTATCTTTTGGGGTTGGGGTCTGGGTATCAGCCTTTAATTTGTAACTAACCAACCAACCAACACTCAGTGTGGTTTCTGATAAGACCTCGATGTTAAGAAGCACTGATTTCGAGAAGAGTCTCACTCTTGCATAAAGGCCTTAGAATTTGCCAAAGAGTATTTAGAAAACTTAAAGGAAAGTTTGTCTTTTGATTTTTTTTTTTTTCCAAATGAACTTCACTTTTAAAGAACGCAGTCATTTCCCTTTATTTCATTTTTGTCTGTCTTTTGGGAGTTTTTTTTTTCCCCCTCCCAAGTTGACTTAACTTGATATTTTACATGCTGCTTCTTTTTACGTGTTTCACAAATGTTCTGGGAAGTTTGGGTTTCATCCTGTACATTGCTGTGTTCTTGGCTTAAAATGTGCATTGAACCAAGCCTGTGGTGGTGGTAGTAGGATGCACTTTTTTTTCCAACTCAAATTGATTAGTTGATATTTTTCCTCTCTGGCAAACAGATGGTGAATTGAACATGGCGCTTTGCTTTCTTTCTGAGTAGCTGCCTGAGTGGGGATTATATAATGAATACTACAAAAGAACTGCTCAATCAAGAGATTGTACATTAAGCAGAAACAAAGATGCCACAGCCAGTGTAAGATGTTTTGTCATAGGACAAAGAAGTCGTGTGTCTCTCTCTCTGCTGGGTTATTTAATGACTTACTCAGAAACAGCTTTTACTTTATCCAAAGAAAATCACCATAATTAAGCTGTCTATCCTGAAATTGGTAGTGTATTTTTTTTAATAACAGTCAGTGAAACACAAGTGCTTAAAATCTATTTTTAAAAAAGCCCAAGTGACTTTTTAACAAGCACAGGTGTTGCCATCAGGAATGTGACCCCTGCATCTCTCATGAGGATGCTAGGAATCACTTTCCTTCTCACATTTAGCATTTTATATTTTTATAAAATTTCTCTAAATATTCTACAGTTAGCTTTTTATTGGTGTCTTGGAGGAGTACTGATTTAACTACGGGTTGCCTTTCTTTTTTTTTCATTTTTAAAAAAATTTAACTTGTTATATGACAGCAGAATGTATTACAATTCATATCACACATATAGAGCACAATTTTTCATATCTCTGGTTGTACACAAAGTAGAGTCACACCATTTGTGTCTTCATACATATAGCGCAAGAATTAATGTCAAGAATCAATAAATGGGATGGATTCAAACAAAAAAGCTTCTTCTCAACAAAAGAAACAATCTGTGAGGTGAATAGAGAGTCTACAATTTGAGAGTGAATTTTCACCACACATACATCAGATAGAGCACTAATCTCTAGGATATATAAAGAACTCAAAAATCTTAACCCCCCCAAAACCCAAATAACCCAATCAATAAATGGGCCAAGGGGCTGAACAGACACTTCTCAGAAGAAGATATACAATCAGTCAACAAATATATGAAAAAATGTTCAACATCTCTAGCAATTAGAGAAATTCAAATCAAAACTACTCTAAATTTCATCACACTCCTATCAGAATGGCAGCTATTAATAATACAAACAACAATATGGGTTGCCTTTCGAATGACACGTCTTTCTTCAGAAACTTAGAATGTCTTGGTAGGTTCTGGAAATTTAGGTAGGCGAAGACATTGGTCCATCTTCTCAAACTTGACTTTTAAACAGGCAAATGTATGGTGAGGATGAAAGTTATAGTTTAGGAGCGCTTGCTTCAATTCATCTTATGAAGAAGTTCATTTTACTGTGAGGTTGGATGAACTTCAGTTCATTTTATAAAACATTTTGGAGTGAAGAAGGAGCCTTGGGATTCTGACCTGTTGCCCATGTTGGGACTTTTCTCCAGGTTTCTTGGTTTCATCAAGTGATGGTTGCTTGATGCTGTTTCTCTAATTTCCTTGCTTATCTTATGCTTGAACCTATCTAGCAACAAATTATGATGCTCACTCTTCTCTTGCTCAACTCAGTTGCTAGGGGATTATGCTCATCTCTCTGTGGCTTCACACTACTTAAGCAACCCACTCCAGTTCTGTGGTTACTATACTCTCTATGGTCCATTTGATTCTCATAGAGTTATTACAGTTAAGATAATCTTAAATATAAATCTCAATGTCTTAGGATGTTCTGGAAATTTAGGTAGACAAAGACGACATTGGTTCATCTTCTCTAACTTGACTTTTAAATAGGCAGGCAAATGTATGTTGAATATTTAGGAGTGCTTGCTTCAGTTCATCTTATGAAGAAGTTCATCTTACTATGAGGTTGGATGAACTTCAGTTCATTTTATAGAACATTTTGGGGTGAAGCAGGAATTGCTGATGATACAAGATGGAAAAAAATAGAGATGGTCTCTGATCTAATGATGGTTCGATTTAAGATTTTTTAAAAAAATATTTTAAAGTTGTTGATAGACCTTTATTTTATTTATTCGTATGTGGTGCTGAGAATCTAACCCACTGTCTCATGTATGCCAGGCAGACCTGCTACTACTGAGCCACAACTCCAACCCCAAAGTTTTTTTATTCTCATAGTGGTTGTACCCAAACAACAATTCTGTCTCTCATTTTTAGTACAGTACTCAATAAATTATGTGAATCATTCAACATCTTATTATAAAAGGCTTTGTGTTAGATGATTTTTCCCAACCACAGGTGAATGTAAGTGTTCTGAGCACATTTAATGTAGCCTATGATGAGATATGATGTTTGGTAAGTTAGGTGTATTAAGTGTGTTTTTGATTTATGATATTTTCAGCTTAGGATGGGTTTAATAGGACATCTCCTTATCATAGGTTGCATCTCTGTATGCCTTTCTGTCTTTAATTAGTCTATAGTTTACCTTGATTGTGTGTTTCTAACTACGTCTCTGTTTCCAGGGCACAGTCAGGACACCATCAATCCAGTTAGACAGGAAAGAGGGCATCCTCCTTTTTCCTGAGGCCCCAGGAGCATTTAACTGTGCTGGAGACCTTTCCAACATGCATTGAAAGTGACCCTTCTGTGTGCGAGCATTCTTCTACCCTTGTCTTGCCAGTTTTCCACCTCTGTTTCTGACCTCTGGCTTTGAACTTGACTTTGATTCCTCTCTGTATCTTTTACTTCTCTTTTAGATTTGTACTCTTCCCACTCCTATCCTGTGGCTTGACCTTGCATTATGTCAATTTATTTCTGACACTCTAGAAACTGTCTTGCTCTATTACATATTTAGGATGATCCTTGTGATCTTGCTGTCTTCCTATTGAAATGTTTGTGGATAATTCTACATTTCTGGGCTAATGCAAATGCACTTTATTAAAAATGAACTGCCAGACAGACTTAGGGATGATAAAGTGTCTAAGATATGTGATTTGACTTTTGTTAGTTCTTTTTAGACACACAACAAATTGATTTTATTTTCTGAGAGCTTTTCTTCATATCTTACAGCCATTCTCTGCTAATTATACTTCCAATTTCTCTTGAGAATAATAAAATGAAAGACTGTCTTTGGATTTTACATAACTAAATTTATAGAAAAGAAAATTGTTTTCTTTCCTGAGATATCTTGTTACATTTCAGGATTTACAAATATATTAAAATTCAGAAGTCACTGAAAACTCTAGATCATTTATTAATCTAAGTAACCATTTTCTCCTTCCTTTGAGTGTATGTTTAGGTGAATTAGTGGTGAAAATACCCTGATCATTGTAACCTTGTCTCTATATACTCTGGTAGTAACCCATTGAAAGGTGAAATTTGCACTTGGCCTTAAAGAATGTACAATTGGTCAGACAACTCAACTACCAACTACTATTCCTTTCTTGTTTGTTTATTTGTTTGTTTGTTTATTCCAATGTCAGAATTGACTCCCGAGGAGAGAGCCCAGAAGATTGCCAAAGCCATGCGTAAGCAGTCTTCTGAAGTCAAAGAGAAGTGGGAAAGTCTAAATGCTGTCTCTAGCAACTGGCAAAAGCAAGTGGACAAGGCCTTGGAGAAACTCAAAGACCTGCAGGGTGCCATGGATGACCTGGATGTGGACATGAAGGAGGCGGAGGCCGTGCGGAATGGCTGGAAGCCAGTCGGTGACTTGCTCATTGACTCACTGCAGGATCACATCGAAAAAACCATGGTCAGCATTGCTGCTTTTGACAAAGAATTTTTAAAGAATGTTTTATTATCAAATATAACACAAATAGAGAGAGCCAGGTAGATGAACTGTTATAAGGGAGTTTTAAAGGCAACACCACTGCAACCCCAACCCAGGTTGAATTGTGACAGATGTTTTCCACATAATTGCTTGTAGTCTGAACCCTTCCCTCAGTAACCTCGGAGGTGACTTTTGTGATAATTTACTTTAAAAAAAAAATGCATTTTCACCAACTGTTCGTCCCTAAACAGTGTGGATTAGGTATACTTGCTTTTTTAAAAAGTATTTTTCAAGTTCCTTTTAATGTCCAGATTAACCCTTTCTTCCTTTTTTTCCTTCACTTCCAGTTTATTTGTTGAAGAAACAAATATTTACTTTGTAGTGTTGCTCACTGCCTGATTCTGCAAGATTGTATCCACGTGGTATGCCCCGTGGCTTCCTCTACTCCGTATTTCCTGGGAACTGGTAGTTGGATTTAGAGTTTAATCAAAAACATGCAGTTTTACTGGAAATTCTCATCTATAAATTTTATCTTATTGTCTCAGTATATTAATGAAGGATGAGTTTAGCTATAATTCCATTCATTGTTAGGAATGCCCAGGTAAGATGTTAGACCCACGATCTACCCTTTGGTTCCCACATTCTAGAACATCTCCAGAGAAAAACATAATGAAGTTTAGAAGAGACACAAATAACAGATTTAGAGTGTAGTAGGTTTTGTAGTGATATATTAAACTATATGTTAGGTAGTCATGAATCAAATCAAAAGATAAGACAAGGAAAACTTAAGTGTTCCTCTAACAATGTCCAGTACACATGGAATTTTTATTGCAAAAAGTACATGTCTTTTGTGCATAGATATTGGAAGACATTCTTCCTTTATATACGTGTGGCTGAAAGAAAGAAGATCTGAAAAATCAAATGAATACTTAAGCAAATTATATAAGTAAATACATGTCTCTGTAGACAAAAGGATAACAATAGCTAGCATTTATCAAGGCTTACTATGTGCCAAGAATTGTTCTTAGCCAATTTACATGTGTGTCTTTTTTAATCTTTATACCAACCCAAGGAGACAGTTGTTATTATCATGCCTATTTTATAGATAACAAGCTGAAGGTAATTGCTCAAACTGAATATAGCTATGAGGTAGTAGTTCTCATGTGTTTTATTTGATTTTTTGCTGTTGTTCTACTCTTTCATTTCAAAGACCTCTCTCATACTAATGCAGTTTAAACACAAAATTGACAGACTATTTGAATTTAAAGTTCTAAAAGTTACATAGTAAATTTTAAACATAAAAAATAGTTATGATGTTTGCTACTTTTCAATGTAGTTATATCAAGTGTCCACCTACCCTGAATTAAATAGACCTCTTCCAACAACCTTAGTGTCCTAAAACCATTTCCATAAATGGATATAAGTTTAAAAGAATATACTGAAAACACAGCCATTAAGATAGTTCCTCTGGAAATTGCACAATTCTTTTATTGTTATAGATGGTTTAAGAATTAGAAATCCTTAAGTCAGTGGTTTCTAAAAATGTATATTTGTTGCACATATTTTAGAGCAGGAATTTACCCATTTGAATTTGAAAGTTTCAGTGTATAAGACACAATGATAGTGTTGGAGGAAAAATAAAAATTGCATCTGGAATTATTACAGTCCCCAAAGTTTGGGAGTTGTAAATCTTATTTGTTTAAAGGAATTAACCCACCTCTATATCCATATCCTTTTGTTCAAACCTCCATTTACATGGAAAAGCTAGAGAAGAAACAGTTAATATTTTAATTGAAAGAAGTACACTGTGGATTAAAATATTTTGCAATCTTATTAGGAGGAAAGAAAATAAGAACTCATTAAGTGTCATTAAGCCAAATAAAATAAATCCAACATCTGTGATATTTTACAGGTTCTTAAAGTGTACCCAAAATACTGTTAAAGCTACAGCCGGAGAAAAATAAGTACTGATTATTGCTAAATATTATAAAATATGTCAAAGCAACTGGATACCAAAATCTTTGGGTATAATCAAATAATTTCAACACCATAAAATTGTCCTTAATCATTCTTGTTTGCAGAATATACACCTTCCACCAGGAGACGGTTGAGATTCACACCTGCCAACAAGCTGCAGTTAGCACCTTTGATACTGGCAGATGTTTCTGTTTTTATAGCAAGGAGGGCCACATAGACTCTTATTCTCTTATAGGAAAAGTGCCGTCAAAACATGATAAATTGGTTCTTTATCCTAGAACACATGGCATTTCTGAAAGCATTTACAACTTGTTTTATTTCAAGCCCTTTAATTTGGAAACTCTTAAAAAGCAAAAGATAAACTTTCTTGATAAAAGAGTCCTCTTGGTCATAAAACAAAACCCAAAAAACCTTGTTTGTCAAAGTTCTTTTCATGTTCTCACTTCCAGATTGCTGTAGAAAAACATTATTAGAGAGGAAACATTTAAACTCTTTATTGTTCTTTCAGATTTAAAACACCTGTCTTAAAGTTATAATCTATTTTTTAAAGCCCTTTATTACCTCTTGAAATAAAGCTAGTTATTGGTTAAAATTATATAAATCTCAGACTACTTTCTAGATATTCATTGGTAATCTTTGATACCTAAAAATGAGGAGACATTGATTTAAAAAGCTGATTCCATTTCTGAAGTCTTCCAAGGTATCCATGGAGAGAATACTAATATACAAAGTAAACATCATGACTGGAGGAACCCAGTTTCTCTAGCGTTTCCCTGTAAATGGAGGTTTGAGTCCCACAATTTTTTCAAATAGAATCTTAGAGGAACCCTAGGCCTCTTGTGATTCCCGATTGAAAGAGTTGCCTTTCCCTACCGTCACCCACACTTCCCTCTGTCCCATACTTCAGTATTAATTGTAAATTCTTTATGGAACTATAAGGCCTCTCTTACCATACGACTGCTTTTCTGCTAATTTAACTGTAATATGTGCTTCTAACTCTGTGTGCACATTCTGTCATCCATGAAAGACCAGCATCTGCAGGAATAGACAAAAACTGCCACAGAACTCCTTCTCTTTCAGTACTGCCGTAATTCACCTGTCTTTTGTGAATTCTCCTGCTTTTTATATATTGGTGTATGTAGGGTTCTGGCCATTTCTCTTGGGACTCTGAAGACCCAAAGAACTGGCAAAACCTAAATAATTTCATTTTAAATTGATAAAAATGAAGCAGTTGTGGAAATTGATTAAATTATGTGGGGAAACTAAAGGAGGATGAGTTATTTCAACAAAGTCTGCTGTGCAGAATTTTGAGAATCTGAATCTTCATCATTGATGGTAAAAATTACTTTCCTCCTGCTCAGCATTTTCCATGAGGGCTTATCTCCTACTTTCAGGAAGAAACATTGGAGGGTCAGAGTACACTTTTTACCTGCTATTTTTTTTTAAGTATTTTTAGTTCAAAATATGTCAAAGTAGCATGTTTTGGGGTGGCATGATGTAGAACGGGGGAGTTATGGAAGGTAACAAGAAAAAGCTTGAAAGAGAGAAGAAAAGAGGGAAGGAGGGAAGAAAGTTTTCTTTTTATAAGTACCAGGAAGAAGCTGAATTAAGACTGTAGTGTTAACAAATCTTTATATTCTTCAGAACACTTTGATTTTTTAATTTTATTTTATTAAGTCAACTTTGAGTGGCAAAGGAAAAAATAAAAAAAAAGCCTTCATAATTACATGCCTGTAAGGAGAGGGAAATGGAGATGTGATAAAACCAGAGGACTAGTGCTAATAGATGCTTATTACACCAGAATTAAAATGACACAGCTCTTTTCACTATTCTCTACTGGCTTAATCTCACCTCACATATCATTTTTGGAGGCCTTTATCAATAGAAATGAATTCTGTCCTCCTGCATTGCAAGTCTTGGGCCAAATGCTGTTCCAGACAAGCTTCTCTTTCTTTGCTGGAGGCAGTAAGTGCTCTGATAAGGGTTGATATTCAAATGTTTAACAATTCTTTCAGTATGGCCTTAGACAATCAAAATGGCCCACCCTAAACCCGAATTTGTGTGTTTGCTCATAGTCTTGAGTTCAAGAGACCAGAGAGAATGTTCCAAGAACACAGGAAAGGGGTCTTTAGGAAAGGCTGTAGAGGGAGAGGCCTCAGAATTTTCCTGAGGGGTAGAGGACCTAGGATGAGTCTTTAAAAGGACCCACAGGACCTTGTGACTTATTGGGAAAGGGGAATGTAACATAGAAGTAGGTGTGATTGTGTGGAAAATGGAGAAAAACCTTCTCATTATTTGTTCTCAAAGACAGTCATTGCTCCAGAATTCCTTTTCTTCCCCTGTTCTCATACATCCCTGACACCTACACCTATTAGCTCTCTCTGCTGTGCTCAGAGAGCCAGCTGTCAGTTCTAGGACTCATTTGCCTCTTTTCCTATCTGCTCTGCTCCTCTTGCCCGCCACCAATCACAGACAGTGGCTATCCACGACCGTGAAAGGGACAGAACCTACTTCTGCAGTGTGGACTGGGCATGGGCTTTGATCAGGAAAGTTGTTTTCACTGACCTTCTAACTTAATTATAAGTGAAAACACATTGAAATTAACTTACTGAATCAGCTGAAGAAAATATTGTCACCATATTAAAATAGAAAGGAGGGGTACGAAAGAAAATGAAAGATACAATTTAGACCAGAAATTAGTAAAGTAGACAATAAAGGCAAACATCTTCCATTCAGATTTACATTCAATAAAGACTATGAAGCAAATGCATAATCATCTACATGAGGTTGCATTATAATTTTCCCCTTCGCACACATATTGAAAGGCTCTGTGTTATAAAGCGTGACTCTGGCGGGTCATTCGAGTTACTGAAGACCTGAATAAGTCGCTGTTACTTACTGGGCAACTCCAGTTGACAGATCTGATCGGGCCTTACCATTGTCTGTGATAGAAAGTTGGAAACTCTAGCTTTTGTTATAGTCTTTTCCAATGATGTATTTTTTTGTGTGTGTCTTTGTTGGGGGGGGGTCTGTTTCTTCCAGGCATTTAGAGAAGAAATTGCACCAATCAACTTAAAAGTTAAAGCAGTGAATGATTTGTCCAGCCAACTATCTCCACTTGACCTGCATCCATCTCTTAAGATGTCTCGCCAGCTGGATGACCTTAATATGCGATGGAAACTTTTACAGGTATCACCTTATCCTCTTCATGATACAGCTTGCAACCTGGGTTCTCTTTAAACCCCACCTCACATTCCACCGCATCCTGTCATCTCTCTCTTGATGGTATCTGATAATGAATTGAACAAGTGAGAACATCAAGAATTTGTCTTTCGGTATCTTGAATCCAAGCACCTCATTTATGTATGAATATAGATTTTAATACAATTTTTATGTGCTTTCCATATGGTATTTATAGAGAATTGTATAGGATCAAATAAATCACAGTTATTGGAATCTATAGAAGGCCACAGAAATATTTTCCCTAGAATGGTTCATAAAGAGTCATTTCTCTTACCTTAATTTTGTATTATTTTTCTTTTGAAAAATTAAGAAAGCTTTCATTCTTTTTCTTTTGACTGGTTTGCTATTTAGGTATCATGCATTAGTTTTTCCAGATAGCACATTAAAAAAAAAAAAAAAAAAAAAAAAAAAAAAAAAAACTTTAGCTCTTAGAGCTGAGCTGTTCTATTGCAGTTGTTTTAATGGCTTTAGACCTTACTTGCTCATTTTAGATTTAATTACCACAGACACCTCTTTTGAGTGTCCCCAGGTATCACCATTGGCAAACCACTATACAACTAAACATGCCAATTAAGAATTTATGGCTCAGTCTTGGTGCACTGTGTTACATTTAGTGGCCAGTCCCCAGAAATCATAATAATCACATTTCCCCTCTGAAAATTAGTAGGTTAATATGAGTATAAGATTGGAGAAATAATTCTTACTAATTTTTTGTGTAGTCTGGGCCTAAAGTATCTAACAACATGATCATGTAATTTCAATGCATTTTATTTGAAAGGTATAATATAGTATAGTAGGTTTCTTCTATTAATTCAAACATCAAAATACCCAATGGTTTGCTTTTTTTTTTAATGTAATTGAAGAGGTAAGAAATGAGTGTACAGTTTTTCACAGACTTTTCTATGTTCACAAAAAGTGTTAATAATCTGGGATTAGTAAGACAAAAATCAATTAAACTCATATGTGCTTACAGAAATGTTTGACCTTTATTCTTTTTTCTTCTGCTCTATTTCTGTAATTCATTATCTTCATGTGCAGAGTCCTGTAACCCATCATGATTCACTTCTCATTCTGTTTCTTTTATGGGTGTATGTTATGTTTTAAAAAGAGCATTCTTTTTAAAGAATGCTCTCTCTTTCCTGTGATCCTGGTAACTGCTAGAGCTTGGATGTTAGTTGTAGGTTGGATAAGAAGAGAAAAAGGTATGCTAGCAGTTTGTGTTGTTAAATTTCAGGAATAACATCTTTACTCAGAAAGTATGTCTTTTGATTTTTTTTTATCTTAATAAAGTACATTCTAAAGCATTTTAAATAACTAACCAGGAGAAACCAAAGCTGCCCACTGAGACACACACACACAAGTTGCCCACTAATAACAGCTGACTTATTCAGGTCTTCAGTATAAGCACAAGTTTCATTTAAAGGCAGCTGAAAATAAGGTTGTCAATCTACATGGATCAGCTGACTAGCACTGCATAGGCAAAGAACAGGGAAACAGAAATAGAAATGTCAGTAGGCTGTGTGCAATTGTTATTGATATGCGTTTAATTTCTCAGTATAACAACTTTGCTTTTTTACAATGTGGAGAACTAATGGTAGACTCTGGGCAAGCATAGAGAACATCAGTCTACTGGTATCTATTCCCAGGTAGAAATGATCAGATGTAAACTTTTCAGAAAATCAGAAGACATTCCATACTTACCTTCTTTATGTTTTGTGTTTCTTTTCTTTCATTTCACTCAGTCATTCATCTCTCTATTGTCTGCATACATATCTATCCATCTATTTTTTCCTGTTGGAGTACTGTAGGCTTCTTTTTAATTTGCTTTCCATATTACTTTTTACCATTTTTTAAAAATAAAAGACAGATGAGTAGTCTCTGATCCCATAACCATACCTTGACTTAAGGTGCCTTAGAAGCTTCATATGACCTGAGAAGGGTTAGCCTAACAGGGCATGGATTCTGGCACCAGATGACCAGAGTATGAATGCTAGCATTGCCACTTGCTATTTTTAACTTCTTGGATAAGTCTTTGTGTCTCAGTTTCTTCATTTGTAAAATGGTAACAAAAGAATACTTATCTAATATGTTTTTTTTTTTGAGAGAATCAAAAGGGTTTATTCATAGAAATTGCTTGAAAGAGTACCTGGCATTAATAACTGTTACTAGAGACCAGAAGTTGATGGTCATACTGTTATTTTGATACCAGAGGTAGAGAAGGAATCTACATAGTCAGTAATATCTTGGATGATAGCATCATTTACTGTAGTACTTAAATCAAGAATATTATTAAAGACATTGTCTTAAAATCAAGTTATTTCATCCAGCTTGTGTGTGTTTGTGTAGGTCTCTGTGGAGGATCACCTTAAACAGCTTCAGGAGGCCCATAGAGATTTTGGACCATGCTCTCAGCATTTTCTCTCTAGTAAGTACTAATAAATTTGAGTGATCGTTAATTGAATGAATTAGCATATTCTTCCACTTTCACTGGAGAAGTCATGTTCTTTTGTTAGGTAAGGAGATATTAACACTAATTAAGGTGTTATTTATTGCTTATTATTTGTTACAGTGTGATGATAACTGTTAGATAGTTGAAGGGAAACACAAATGAGTTTGTTTCTAGATATGGTTTTGCACCTGGCCATTTGTTATGATAAGTAATATAGTATTATGTCACCATTGTTTTGACAAGTGCAAAGATTAGGACCTTTTCACACAAAAAATCCACTTTTATATTTTAAGATATTAATGATTTTTTTCCTTCATAAAAGTGCTTATTGGTTTAAATCACACCTGTAACTTTTAAAGTTACAAAAAAATTCTCTATAAATCTTTAAATGAGAATATTTTGGTTTATTAGACTTGCTGCATTCATACTCAGCTATTTTTCTGGACAAGTATTACGGATTTAGCAAAGCACATATGTAGATTTTTATGAAATAGTCTCCAGCTGGAATTTTCAATTTTATGTACAGTCCATGAGATCTTAAATAAATAATCTGAGCTCGTATTTTATTTATTATTCACTGCTGAGGATACTAAAGAGTCTAGAATTTAGAGTTACCCAGATTGAGTTTAAATATTCATTCTGCCTTTTATAAGACCTGTGAATTTCTGAAAGTTAATTTCTTGGTCTTAAAATACCAATATCTATCCTCTGATTAACTTGAGAATTAAATGAAAAAGCATATCAAGTTACACAAAGAAGCTAGCCCAGTTCTTGGCACAAATGCTTTCAGTAAATATTAACTCCTTTTCTTTCATTTCCTTTGGCAAATATATGTAAGAAAGCAATTTGTTTAATTCCATTTGAGTAAAGTTTAAAACTGAGGGCAAAGAGTGTTTCTCAATTATGACAACTTCTTTATATCAATAACCACAGAGAAAAATGAAGTATAATTCCATGTCTCAACTAAATTGATTACATTTGTATTTCCTCTTAATCCTTTTTACTGCTTTAATTCAGATTAGAGGTAGGCCTCTTCTGTCACAATTGTGAGAATCTTCCTCAGACATTCACACACACCCCTCTTTAGCTTCTCAAAGTTGAGCCGTGAGGTATTCCATCTTTGATCAATGTGTAGTTTTTCCTGGTATTCTGGGTCAGGATGCGTTTTTTAGTTTGACTATCATCAGTATTGATAATATAAATAAATTTTTACAGTATACTCATTAGGTATTAAGCACTCCAGGTTTCTTAAACTTAATAGTATATAAAACACAAAATTAAAGGGGAATTGACAAAAATAATTGAGACTGTAAATTCTAAAGATCAGTTATCTGTTTACATTAATGAAACCCTACATTTTCACCTCGTACCCACTCTTTCATTAAAGAAATTAAGCTCACATTCTTTAAGAAATGAAATATTGAGAAATTCAAGCACATGGCCTTTTATTGTCTAGTGCTGATGGTCCCAGGAAATGGAAGTTACTCAAATCAAAACAATTATTATAATGAATGGAGAAGTATAAACAAAATCCTAATTAGTAAATTTTATAATTATTATCCCTTGCTGTTTACAATCTTTGGCTTTATTATATTTCTTGGAGTTTAGCCACTGTTATAAAAGAAGCCTGTCTAGTTAGGCACAACAGAAAAACTGACCCATTAGCCTGGTGCCAACACTGAAATGAGGTTGGCGCTAATGAGAAACTTAATGTACCTAGTTCCTCATTTTCATCCCCTTTTTGTACTTTCATGGACTCTGTTGGAGAAGGGAGTGCTTATGTGTATAAAGAGGAAGAAAACCTGCTGGACTAGTATTCAGAAGTATTGAGGTCCCATCTGAGCTCCACCCTGTGTTTCATAGTTAACACTCATTGGAAAGTTATTTTACTTTGATGAGCTTAGCTCCCTATCACATGGGACTTTAATATGTATCTTGCTGGCTTTTCCAACAAAAGATAGGTTTGAAACTGCTTAGCAAAGTTTACAATGCTATATATTTGTAAGCTATCAATGTAATATGAAAGTCAGAAAAAAAAATCATCGGGACAACTGACTACATGAAGCTCTAGTGATATTTAATCAAATTTGTATTTGATTTTATTTACTAGTTCACTTAGCAAAATCCTTTCATAGTTCAAGATTCACATGTGTTACTGTTCTTCAATAAGTCATAAAATAATTGGTTTTGGTTTAGTGTAGGAAAAACAGTTTTTATAAATAAAAAGTAAATGGAATTGTAAAAAAATTAAGCAACTCAGTTCAAAGACATACAATCTCAATCATAGTAATTTTTGCTGCAAAAGTAGAAGACCATGCTTTCTGTGCATTTCAGATGATAAAAAGTATTTGTACTTCTGCTCAGATGATTGCTTGGGTTCTTTACAACCCTTTGCCTATTTTTATTTTTCCTTTATGTCATGTATCTGAATTTGTTTAAATGCCATCTGTATCCAATAACCATGCCTGTGATCATGATGCAAAGTAAAGAATATTGTTAGTGATCTGGAAAAGTCAGGCTGGAGAAATCTAGTTGGGATATATAAATCTAGTCTGAATATAAAATGTATACATTTTCCAGATGGCACTAAGTTTTAAAGTATAGTGATTACAAACAATAAAACCTGAGTTTTGAGGAAGTATTTTTATCCACAAATTCAGTTAGTTGGAATTAGAAATTGAAGTGGTGTTGTTTCTTCCCTCACTTCAAATGAATCTCAGAACTGTTCTGTTGGCTTAGTGCATTTCTTAATTATAGATATTCAGCTCAAACACCAAAGCTGATCACATTGGATTTGCTGTAAACTGTATTCAGTTGCTTTTCATTAAGGTGAGAGGCTTTTGCGTCACCTGTGTTTCCAATCATCTTCCTTTGTTTCCTCAGCTTCAGTCCAGCTGCCGTGGCAAAGATCCATTTCACATAATAAAGTGCCCTATTACATCAAGTAAGTTGATTTGAATTCTCCTTTATGATACCAAGACAATAAAGTTTTATTGATAACATAAGAGGTGCCCCCTATAACTTTGAAAAATGGAATTCAGTTCTGTTATCTGAAGGAAACTAATAATATATTTAATATTTGAAGGAAATCAGTTTAAAAATCAGGGTGATATTTGTCCTTGGTTAGGTTTTCTTTGTCTTCAGGAAATTTCATCTGCATTAGTTAAAGCTCATCATTTTTTGTTGTCAACATAGCTTCTCATTTCTTTGTATCATTTCTTCTTCTTATGTGATATTTTATATATTTTGTTTAATTTACTCAGCATCTTAGTAAGACTTCATCCTTGGCTTAATCTGTATAGTGTATAAGACAGAACAATGCAATACTACTTCTGTAAACCCTTTAAGTGCAAGTTGGTAAAGCAATTAACTTACAGTGTAATACAGAGAGGTTTCATAGCTGACCTTATTTTGTGTGTAATGAGAACTACATCATAATTGTGAGAATGCACTTTATCAGGAGGCAGTTGTGTCTCAGATTACGTGTGTGACTTCAGGCAAGTTGGGAAAAAATCTCTGTGCCAAGTTTCCTCTGCATCATTTCCAAAACAGGATGCAGTATCCCCAAAATCCATGCCAATGCTAGTAATGTACATTTCTGGAATTACTCTTCCTGAAAAAATTTGTGTGTAAAGTCAATCTTAGTGAAATGGTATTTGGTAATGAGTCTTTTCTTGTAGTGTGAAATATGTTGTCAGGTTTTAAAAAAAAAGAACTGTGGCCATAACATTTAACAAATATAATAAGCAATGTATGCTACATTATCTTGTGGCATTTTAATATTTTTATTTTTTTTAAGCACAATATATGTATTGTAGCTGTGATGAATTTGAGAACAAAGGTATCAAACCAGTTGATGGGTATCCAAGTTGTATAAGCATGAATGGAAAGAAGTTAGAGGCTGGGCAAATTGGCATATCTTTATTGAGAGCAGGTGTGATAATCGAATTCAAATGAAAAACTTAAAAAAAAAGTTTACATTTGTTTTCCGAATGATGATGATGATAGTAATAGTATTAGAGAACTTTAATTTACTCAGGCAATTATTGACTTGAACTGAATGATACAGGTTTACATATATATCTGAGGCAAGCTCAGTGATGCCTGCCTATAATCCCTGCAATTCACGATGCTGAGGCAGGAAGAGTGCAAATTCAAGGCCAGCCTCAGCCATTTAGTGAGGCCTTAAGCAACTTAGTGAGACCCTGCCTAAGTAAAAAATAAAAATAAAACCCAGTGATATAGCTCAGTGACAAAGTGTCCCTGGGTTCAACCCCTTATACCACCCTACCCCCCCACCCCCGCGCAAAAAATTATATAAATCTAAGGCAGAATAATACCCCTCTCCCAAAAGGTTCCCACATCCAATCCCTGTGAATGTTAGGTTGCATAGCAGGGGAGAATCCAGGTTTCACATCAGCTGAAGAATTACAGAGCTTATCCTGATAGACGAAATGTAATCATAAGGGCCTTTGAAAGTGGAAGAGAGAGGTAGGAGTCAAATCTCAGAGAGAGATTTGAAGATGCCACTTTGCTGGCCTTGAAGATGGAGGAAGTAGAATATGAACCTGGCAATGCAGGCAGCTTCAAGAAGTTGGAAAAGGCAAGGAAATGGGAATCATGTAGAACCTCTGGAGAGGAACATTTTGCTAGTTATGATTTTACACATGGAGACTTTATTGTGGCAGCAATAAAAAACTAATTCTTGTACTATATAAAATCTAGATGCATATGCAAATTTATTAGAATTAATTAATTGGTTCAATTCCTAGAATCCTCTATCATCTTATTTTTTAAAAATAAAAACTTGATCTAGTAAGATAGATTTTTGTTTTTTACTAAAGAAAATATTTAACCTTAAATATCTTTCTTGCTTATGTTTTATACAATAAAACATTTGATTTTCTATTTGATTTAGGACTTTCAAAGTCCAACCTTAATGTTAACTCCTAGTATAACGGATATCTGTATGTCTGATCAGTTTTATATGGCTGAGGATTAAATAGTGTATGTCAGAATTTCTCTAATTCACAATGTTTATAAATTCAATAGGATCTTGTAAGGTTTATTCTTGATCAGCCTGTGAGTTCTCATCAGGCACTTGGTACACTCATGAGTTCCAATCCATCATTAAAAGTTAGTTTATCTGACATCTTATTGGCTAGAGCTACAACCAGGTTTGGAATATATATGTTTAACACAAGGATGCTCAATATTTTTATGATGACCTTTAGAACTAAACCATCCTAAAATATCTTCTACATGCTCAGCAAATGATTGAATTTTCTTAAATATATATACTTTCAGTGTTAAATGATGTCTTTTCAATGTTCAAATATTTCAAAAATTTTCCCATCTCTATAGAGCAAACTTTCCTGTTTTTATAAAACTTATTTAACCAGGATCTTTTATTGCTTGTTCTTTTTTATAACATAATAATTTATTTCCTCATAAAGAAGAAACATCACAATTAGGTGGTAGAGTTATAAAAGCCAGTATTTCTACATGAAGAATTGTTTTTGAAAACAAAATTTAATTTCTAAATAAACTAATGAATGAAAATGAAAGGCTTTTAATATACATTTTCTTTCTTTGTTTTTTGGCATGGCTGCACAAGTGAGTTGAAGAAAAATGTTAAAAAGAAATTAAGCATGATTGCCATGCAGTTGGAATTTCCTGGAAAAATTTTAGTATATTAATTTGGCCAACCAAAAAGTAATTTTCAAGTAGAAGTATTAGATGTTTACAATGTTTTGTTTTGTTTTTATTTGTTGGTTGCTTGCAGTCCTGGGGATTGAACCCATGGCCTCACTATGCTAGGCAAGCACTCTACCACTTAGCAGACCTCAGCTCATTTTCAATGTTTAAATACACACTTTTGTAAATGTGCTGTAATGCTAGAGTATAGTAAAAATGTTGAAAGGAAAAAGAGGGCAAATTATTTTAATTTTAATTTTACAGATTTGTTAAAATATACTTTGGTGGCTTCCCAATGCATTTCTCTTTTTTTCTAGGTAATTTTTATTAGTATTTTAAGTATAATTAAGTATATTAAGTGTAATACAGAGAGTGATTCCATGACTCATTTTTAGAAAATGATAAAATATAATTCTAAACTGTAATAGTATATGTGGCATGAATCTCTTCATTATTAACATGAAGGGATTATTATTAATATCTGTTAGTTTTTCCATGATAATAAAAATACCTGGGATAATAAATTTATAAGGAGGAAAACTTTATTTTGGCTTACAGTTTTGGCTTTAGTTTTAGTCCATGATTAGTTGACTCCATTGCTTTTGGGCTTGTGGCAAGAGCTCAAGTTGGGAAAAGCAGGTGAAGGAGCAAAAACTCTCATTTCATAGCCAGGAGGCAAAAGTAAAGAAAAGGAAGGGTCTGGGGTCCCACAGTGCCCTTCAACACAAGGGCCCAGTGACCTGAAGACCTCTCAGTAGGCCCCACCTTTTAAGACACAAAACGTCCCAACTGTGCCAATCTAGGAGTAAGCCTTTGACATGTGAGCCTTTGGGGGATATTTACATTCCAAACTATGGCAGTATCTTCAGTTGGAACATATCTTTAATTATACATGCTGCCTACAAGGAAGACTTTCTGGATATGCTCTGGTTAGTTTTTTTTTTTTTTAATATAGTCCAGTGACAGCTTAGGTACTATGAGTTTAAGAAAACTTGAAATTGGCTCCTATTACCTTTATAATATATATATATAACTACCATAAAAGCCAGATCTCTTCCATTGTGAATTTCCAGTTCATTTTTGTGTTTTGCACAGGTCATTCATGTCTTCAGCTAAAAGTCAATATCCAGGGACTTTGAGGGGTAAAAATAATAATTGATAAAAGTTTTATTTGAACTTTCCTCATATGTCACATTAATCCTGTGAATATGATTCCTTCTCATTTCATTCTACAAATAATAATAATAATAATAATAAGAAGAAGAAGAAGTAGTAGTAGTAGTAGTGGATAATAATAATAATAATGATAATTATAGTAAATTCCATTTTGAACACTGATTTGTCATACACTATGCTGAATCCTGGGCATTACGTGAATAATTTATTTGAACACTTAAAGGAAAGAGTGTATAGTGAAGTACAGTTTTATCATTGCCCCTGTATAGTAACTGATAAATACATTAATAAGTAATTAATAAGTACACACAGAGTCTGCTTGAGATTGCATGTCCAGTAAGTGGACAAAGTAGCATTAAACCCAGGGACTGTTCTAGCTTTAGCCTGCTATGCAGGTCTGTCCCCTATATTCTGAAATTTTTAATTACATAGAAAATTTGACTAGGGAAAGATTATGTTTAGGAATGAGAAGAACAGTGAAGAAAATATGAGCAAACATCTTTTCTTTCTTGCTGTACACTGGTTATCATTTATTACGTACCCACTGTGTACAGCTGTTTGAGGACAGAGCCATTACTTTCTCTGATATCCCAGCCTTTTCCAGTGTCACTCTGTCTTTGTGAGGGCCTTTCCACAGGCTAATCTCTATTGTGTATATTTAAGAAAATTTCATACAGTGGTCTTGTGGTGGATTGGGGTGCTTTTCTAGAGATAAGAAAGTATTGCTCTCTACAGTCCTGCCCGTAAGACCTTAAAGGAGTTCTGAGGTGGGGAGATGAATCGTGTAGTATAGCCCTCTCCATTCCCTAGGCAAGGAGACTTCTGCCACCAAGTAGAATTCTGTTTGTAAGATGTCAACAAAGCCCTGGGTCTTGCCACCTAGCTGGTGATCTGCACATCCAGCCTGTTGGTGATTGAGCCTGTTGAGTAGGGTGTAGGAAGGATGGTTCTCCTTTCCTCCCCACAGCATCTTCTCCAAACCCCAAATGCTTTACTTTTCAGTGAGTCTTAGACTTGGTACAAATGATTGTCCTACTCCTGTGACTGGGCTTCCCTGACACAGTTTGACAG